ACCATTAATGACTTTAATAACATAATATTATTAAAATATCAAAATTTTTATCGAATTTTTTATACAGAAAAATATATGAGTAAATTTTAAATTTGTCAGTAAAAAAAAAAAATTTGGCACCGATACAGAATTGAGCTATTAAGCTTTCCCTTTTGGTCGCGGCGGTTTTTTCCTGAGTCATCTACATACGCTTAAGGCGCTAAGATAAATCTAGACTAGTCACGAACGAATCGGTGGCAGGTAACAAGATCAACGTAAATAAGGTCAATTGACTTTATTTCCCACCCTGCTGCGAAATAAAGTCAAATGACATTATTACCTTTTCAAAAGTGAAATAAAGTCAACAAAAATTTGAAAATAAAGTCATTGAAAAAAGTAAAATGAAAAAATTTCCTCGAATACGTGTTAGCTTATTTCATGTATAGAACCCATAAAAAAAAATTGAAGCCAATCGAAGGTGTGTCACCAAATTTCGTGTCCGATATGAAAAAGAATGTCTCCTATAGAAAAGGAATTTTCTTACACTACTGTATTCATGTCTCCGCCAGCAATTTGTGGCGACATCATTTAAAAGCAGCCAAGGAGAACGCACCAGGGTCGGAAATAAAGTCAATTGACCTTGTTTCCGTTGATCTTATTACCTGTCACCGAACTAATCATATCCCGCGGGGAAAACTATTTAAACTACTATCGATTTTTTACGAACGCACTGAGTAGAAACTCTCTTCGGTCGCTTATCTAGATCAGTACCAGATAGAGGAGAGAACTTTTACCCCTTGCATATCAATACAAAATGTATAAAAAGCCTGAAAGGCTTTGCACACTGGGAAGGCGAAAACCATCACCATTTTAGAGACATTTTTCGGCTATAGTTTGAGCTTTGAATACCATAAAGGTTGCTGTGGCAGATCCCGCACGGGGCTACTCAATTAGACATGACACACGTTCTTTGAACGGTAACTGACGATACTCTGTGTTAGAACTAACTGAATAACATCCAGTTTGGAGTAAAAAAGTTTATACAACTCTAAAAAATTTTAAATTTTTTATTAAAAAAAATTAAATTAATATTATTGACTATTTATACAACAGCTTTCTTGATTGGGTGAAAAACAGTTTTGTAGAATTTCCTCTGAATTCTTTAAGTCGGTATGGTCCATGATCATCTATGTATATGTTTCTAATTTGCTCTAGGATTCCCATTATCTATTTCCCCGTTTATTCTAATATCAAAGCTAGCTTCGTCTCTCACCGAAATAAAGTGAGATTTCCCGAAACACTAAAGTGGTGGGTTATCCCAGAAGTAAAGTACACAGTCCGTATTTGTAAATTTCAAACACTAGTCATGATCTTGGGAGTTCTGCCAAGAGCGAACCAAATGATTGTCCGATGGTGCAAGATTAAGCGCTATTTTGACGATACATATAAAACTTCCTAGTCACGATCTCCAGAAAGAGATCCAGGTTTGTGATTAGCTATTCCTGTCCAATTCTGCTCAGTAGTACTTTTCTTGGCGTCCCGTCTTTAACACTGCTTATGATGCCTCCCCGAGATTTGTTATGATATTTCTCACTTCAGCAATTGCTAGATTCAATGACGTTTCATACAGTTACCTTAATTCACAGAGGCCTAACCAGCAACATTTTTTTTACAGGAGAAGCCAAAAATATTATAAAAAAAAAAAAAAATATCAAACATAGTTAGGGCTTTTAAAAAAGTGGCATGTAACTCCGTTGTTTTTGGTACTAACACATTAACATTTTTATTGAAGGTGTACTTTAATACATCCTACCAAAATCTGTTAAAAGCGCAGTTTCGGAAAAAGTGTTGGTTAGGGCCTTTATGAATTAAGGTACATACATGGTACATATGCAGCCGCAGATATTTTTTTCACGTAAAATCCTAATAACTAGCTTCTTTTAGTATCCATCTTCACGTTAATATTGTGAAATTTTTATTCTATCCATGTTTAGTTCTTTATCGATATAACTGAATGAAATAACGAGACTAGCCTCTTGCACCTTTTGAAGAAGAACAACAACAATGACGAGGTTCATTTGGCATTGAAATTCCAAATTTGATTTTGGCATTCATTTAAGCGCTCGTCACCATGAATCCCATTTATCTCTTTTCGATAATAAAATACCTAAATAAGACGAGCGCCAATTTTCAAGACACTATACCTTTTCACAAAGTGAACACAACCCAAAATTTTTTATATGTTAGAAGACACAAGTTCACTGCAGGTTTTTGAAGCCAATTGCAGCAAAACATTCGTCAGCCTTTGAAAAATAATCAAGCTTTTCTAACAGCGGTCGCCGCCCCTCCGCAGGCAATGGCAAACCTGCGCGTACATTTCTGCCATGAGAAAGCTTCTCATCAAAATCCATTTACTGTTCAAAGGTGGCATAAAACTGTAGGTACCTCCATTCATGTAAAACATCAAGACTCACGCCACAAAGGAGGCGAAGGTCTGCCAAACACTTAGCAAAGATGTAAGCGATGAAAATATGTCGGCGGTACGAAGGCCGAATAAATTATAGATTTTCCATTTAAAATGTATGCCGGCATCATTACAGTTATGTATTTATTAACTACATTAAATTTTTATGTTCGCCACTTCATTGAGTTTTGATATATTTTAATCTACTTATACTAAGCTTTCCTAAATATAACTCAATTTATTCATGACAAGAATGAATTTACTTAGTTTACTTCCTTTTAAACAAAATTAGGCACTTCCTACAACAACAAATGCAGTATTACATACTTTTAATACCCAATTTAATATGGCTACATATTTCACACACAAAAAAAAAACTTAACTATTAGTTACACCTTTCTCGCGTTAAAATAATGCCAACAAAATGAAGTAAACAAAAGACTTAAGCAACGAACGCGCTTTGCCAATTTTGCCTACAAAGTCGCTGTCATCGAAGCATTTAAGCTTGTATGTATGTACCTAACAATACGCAATGATTTTTCACATTTCGATTTTCAAGTTCTTTCGCGTAAATAAAAATTGCATAAACTCGGTGTGGCATAATGCAGCTTGTGTATTTAGAAATAAAATCGCTAAAACGCAGAAACAAGAAAATTTGCCGAAAAGGCTCACTTCAACAACTTTGTAATGCACACGCACATGCAAACATACACGCTCGCACACAACACATTTTTTTTAAAAACACGTTCGTTTTTTTTGCACAAAATAATCTGTATTCACTCACTTGGACCAAATTCCACGCCATCGCTAATGCCGACTTTATCGTAGGCCAGCACGCCAACGCTGGGCTTTTGGGGCGCAGCTTGAGGAACTGGTAGCGATGGTGATGGTGCTGGCGCTGCATTTTGTGGTGTTGTTGGTGCTGGCGCTGCTGCTAAGGTGGCTGCTAATGCCGATGGCAGCACGGCGACTGTTGTGTATTCCTCTAAATTGTCCGATACTGCTCTAGCTTTGGTTGTTGTTGTAGCAGCGGTTGCACTTCCGAGTGTTGCCGCAATGGCGGCAAGATAGAAAAAATAATATTTATGCATTGCAATTGGCCTGATTTGGTGTTTGGCGCTTTATTTGAAAGGGGTGCCGCTTATTCTCGGCTTTTTTCAAGCAACTGTGGACTATGATTTCACGTTTTTTGTGCGGTTTTGGTTGGGAAAATTTGGAAGTTTTTAAATTCTAGTTTGGTTATATAAAAAAAAAAAATAATTTCCTTTTTTTTATTTATTAAAAAAAAAAATATAGAGTTCATAAAATCTAAAACTTTTAATTTGCGAATTTTGGATTGAACAAAGAATAGTAGTATTAATTGCTTTAACTTTTTGCTAATTTTCATTTGTTTCCACGTTCACACAAAATTTTTTAAATTTTATTTGATTTTTTTTTTTTTTTTTGTAAATTTTATAACTACTTATAGCGCGAAAATAATCGAATATCGAGCTCTTGATGACCGAAAAATCGTGACAATTTGCTATTTATTTATTCCAACACCAAAACACTAAACTAGTTTTTTTGATTTACATTTAATTTTTATTTATTGCAATTGTTTTTATTAAATTTTTTTTTCTATTTTCCCGACCAACTTGCGAACGCGTCGCTTGCAAATCTCGAAATGAGCTGCAAGTACGTTTATTTATAGTTTTTATATCAAAATCCAAAAAAACAAACGACAAGCGTTTTTTTGTTATTTTGCTCAACTGCGACAACAACACACCACAAAAAATAAATAACTACAACTACAAAATAAGCTACTATAAAAACAGTAACAATCGTAGATAGCGTCAACTGCAAAATTCAGTTGACTAAAATACAAAAAAAAAAAAACAATAAAAATAAAATAGCAAAAAGCATTGAAAGCTCAAAATTCAAACATTTGAATTACTCTGCAACGGTGGCAGCAGCGTCTGCCTTCATAGCGCATATTGAGCAACCATGCTGCACAACAACAACGACAATAGTGACGCAGCAAATGAGCAACGCTGAGCGGCCGATTTGAGGAAGCTTTGCGAGCTGGTAACTATAAGCTTTTTCTGTGCTTACATAGCTGGCTAGCTGCCAGCAGTAGTAAGTGTTTTTGTTATAATTTTTAATGCTATGCTGCAATTTTAGTGTTGTTGCTGTTGTCGTTTGAACTGCATTCTGGCCTAGTGTTGCATTTGGCAGTTAATATTTATACCCTGGACAACTGTTCTACTCGGGTATTAAGGCATATTGTTTAAGGCTTTTGTTTAACTTGCTATGCACGTATGTATGTATGTTTTTGTTTGAGTCAAATGGGCCGTTTATTTTGAAAGTGGCATAAGTCACTTCGTACCTTTTGTGCTTAAATTACCGGCTACTTGTATCTGTAAATCGGTCTATCGTCATAAACTAACGGCAAAGCCTTCAACCTTTGGTTGATGAAGTTGAGCGAATAACCGACGCGTTCAGATATACATATACAAGTAACCGGTCATTTAAGCGCAAGAGCTGTGAAGTGAGTTATGCCACTTTCCAAATAAACGGCTCAAATCTTGCCACAGTTTACAACCAACTAGAGACTTGAAACTTCAAACTTAACTCAGAAATCTATGAAACTGCAAAATGAGAGATGAGTTTATCCGACAGGTGGCGCAGAAGTCGAGATATTTGAAATACCCCTTTTTATTGTCCGATTTGGTTCAAAAATGGTTTGGCTGATGAAACCGGCAGTAAGAGAAATATAGTGAAATACATGAAAATAAAAATTTAACATAATTTCTTGGTAATTGAAAAACTGTACGTCTTTTTTTTCTACTTTCTGAACATAAATTTTTTGTTTTTTAAAACCACATTTAAAATTTTTGGTCTTATTAAAATTGGAAACACAATTTTGATAATTTACATATTTTTTATTTAGTTTTGAAACTGTGCAAAATTTTATGGTAATTAAAAAACTGGGCTTAAACTTTTGCTAGTTTGCTTAAACAACTCAACGTTCGGAAATTCGATACAAGTTTTGGTATTTTAATAATATCAAAATAATTAAAAGTAAACAAAGTGAAAATCAGTTACGTTTTATGTTTTACTGATGAGCCCGTGGATGCTGGTGCCAGACAACTGACAGACATATACGTTTTCAAAGTTGAGTTGAGTTGTGTCCCACAGTACCAATTTACAACTTACAACTCAACTATCTTCAAAGCTTTCAATCATCATAGGGGCCAAAAAAAAGATAGAACTGAAAAATTAGATATTGTATGGTATGTTATGTTATGCAATGCTATCTTATCTTAAGTTAAGTTGTGTTATGTTATGTTATGTTGTGTTATGTTATGTTATGTTGCTCAACGCATTTAACCTCAACTAACCTCTTAGTTCACCTTAACTAACATCATTTCATTTCAACTCAATTAATCTCACCTTAACTCACCTTATCTCACCTCACACCGCACCTGAACTCGCTTCAATTCACTTCACTTTAACACAACTCAACTCACCTTAACCCATTACAACTCGCTTTAATTTTAGTGGTGGAGTTTCAACCACTGGGCGAAAACTAGTTTTTTTTTTTCAAAAAGTTAGTTTTTCATTACAATTTTTATATTGCCTAAAAATTCATGGTTAGTTTTAAAGTAACCCACAATTTGTGTCTAGTTTCTAAATGAGCAAAAATTCATTTCCATTTTTTACTATGGCAGCAACTCTTAAAGTTTTTAATGTATTCTACAGCGTGTAAAGTTCCACTCATTTCATCTCGAGAGAACTCTTCTGTGCTGATTTGGTTATAAACTGATTTTTTATTCTCAACACATGCAACTGTAATTTATGTGACAGATTATTGTCACATATGTACGTACACATGTATATACATACCATTTATGTATGCATGTATGTATATACTTAAATGTATTTTGTATGCATAAATGTAAATGTAAACTTGTTCATAGCATATGAGGAATCAGTAATTTAACATTTCTTGGCGGAAGAGAAGCGCTGTTAAAAAAATTGGGTATTTTATGGTTGTTACGCCGACCAGAGATTGAATCTGGGTGCTACCGAATGTTACATAGTACACACCACAAACCACTCGTTAACGGTGACCGCCATATTTGTCTTTAAATTTGGTTATATATCTACATACATATATATATTTATTTACTGACATAAAAAACCCCTCGGCTTGGCAACGGCAAGCCTCTTGAGTGAATTCTGCCATAAAAAACAGCTTCTCATAAAAATACTATTATATAAATATATATTTTGATTCGCTGTAAAATTGTTTAATGAAGGTCGTGCCAATTGTTAACTAAAACTATGCGCATTTCCTAAACCGCTGGTTTTTTTTTTTATACCCGAGCGCACTTGTGCACAAGGGTATTATAACTTTGTTCACATAACGGTTGTTTGTAACAGGCAAAACGAATCGAGATAGATATAGACAAATGTATACATAAATGATCAGAATGAAAAGAGAAATCGATTAAGCGGTGACTGTCTGTCCGTCCGTCCGTCCGTCCGTCCGTCCGTCCGTCCGTCCGTCCGTCCGTCTGTGCACACGATAACTCGAGTAAAAATTGAGATATCTTAACGAAACTTGGTACGTGAACTTCTTTTGGGCGTGGGACGGATGGTATTGAAAATGGGCGAAATCGGATAATAACCACGCCTACCTCCCATATAACGGTAATTTTCAGAAATACGAAAACTGCTATATTTTAGTAACTACTGAAGATAATTCACTCAAAATGGATACTTACAATAAGTTTCAGACGGAAAACATGAATATTATAAATTTTTGGAAAATGGGCGTAGCCACGCCCACTTATGGTTACATGTGTATATCTTGGTAACCGCTGCACCAATTTCTTCCAAACTTGGCACAGTTGTTGGCCTTAGTACAGCATACTAAATGGCTGAAAATTTTAAAAATCGGACAATAACCACGCCCATATAACGGTAATTTTCAGAAAAACGAAAACTGCGATATTTTAGTAACTACTGAAGATAATTCACTCAAAATTGATATTTGCAATGAGTTTTAGACGAGAAATAAGAATATTACAAAATTTTGGCAAATGGGCGTAGCCACGCCCACTTATGGTTACATGTGTATATCTTGGTAACCGCTACACCAATTTCTTCCAAACTTGGCACAGTTGTGGGTCCTGGTACAGCATACCAACTGGCCGAAAATTTCTATAATCGGACAATAACCACGCCCACATCCCATATAACGGTATTTTCGAGAAATACAAAATCTTCGATAAATCAGTAAATATTGAAGCTAATTTATTCAAAATTGATGATTGCAACAATTCTTTACCAAGAAATACGTTTATGACAAAATTTTGGAAAATGGGCGTAGCACCGCCCACTTGTGATCACATATATGTATCTCGCTAACCGTTCTAGCAATTTGTACCAAGCTCGGTATGGTTATTGTGCTTGCCACATAAAAGCAAACCGTTGAAAATTGTTGAAATCGGACTAAAATTGAGGCCGCTTTTCATATAACGGTAAATTTCAGATATGCTTGAAATTTCAATATTTCGAAATTTAAGGACGCTAATTTACTTAAAATGTATACACCCCGGCTTATCATGTAGCGGTAGCTTTCGGAAAGGTGGAAAACATATATTTAATACTTGCGCCGGGTATTTAATGTTCGGCTCCGCCCGAACTTAGACTTTCTTACTTGTTTTGCAATACTTTTCAGCAATCGTTTTACTAATTGCAGTTGCTAATCCAAAGATTGGCACAATGAACTATGCCAATTAAAACGATATTCAAAAAGCGTGCAGGCTTTTAAACGGCTTTCGCTAAAGAGTATGTATTGATTTCTACGCTTAACTCTAATGGCACTGCTTTCTAAGTAGTAACGCACTTTATTTTGAAATGCTGGTCAAGCTAAGTTGTATTTAATTCAAATTATTTATAAATTAAAATGCAACAATTTTTAGAGACAAAATAGCTGCAAGAACGAAAAAGCAGTAATTTTCTTATTTATTGTTTATTTAAAACGTCCACATAGTTAGTTAGTGAGGTGGAAAAAATTTATAGTTATCTTTGAACTTTGCTTTTTATGCTAAGCCATGCAAAACCTGAGTTTAAACTTTTCTACAAAAATAGTTGAGAGGGTTCAAGAGACAAATCAATGTTTTAAAAATTAATAGTTATTTTAACTACCTACATATGTACATACATTAAGATGGTCCAAAAATGCATGTGACAAAGTAAAGTCGGAATTTTAATGCTCTCACCGCCTAGGATTGTTCTATACCCAAATCAAAAAAAAATATTTAGAGGTCGCTTAAAACGCACAAAGTTGTCCATGTATTTTATATGGGAAAAACCAAGTTTTCAAAGAAATCATATTCTTGAAAATCAACATTTCTCTATCGAAAAATTTTGTTTCTCTTCAGAAGACTGCCAATTATCTATTTTACCTCTAAATTTTTTTGGATTTCAAAATAAAAAAACAGGGGTATACCTTTTCCAAATAGAACGATTCTAGGGGGTTAGAGCAATAAAATTCCGCCTTTACCTTTTTTTTTTTGGACCACCCTTATGTACATAAATATTCATATAGGCAGTGAATAGTGGAGTAAAGTTCATTCAGCGCTTTATGATGGCATGCT